CACACACACACACACACACACACACACACACACACACACACACACACACACACTTATTTTTACATGTATCTTCTTCCTTGATTTTTGTGTGTCTTTCTTCTTTGTTCTCGTGTGTCTTTTCTCCCGTTTTCTTTTCCAGTACTTTCTGTGTGACCGAGCGAGCACCTCTAAGCAGTGCTAAACAGTCGATGTTGGGATGGTCAGAGTGCGCATAGCACCATTAGGGGACCCACTCTGTTTGTGATGGATGTGATACCTGTTTGTGGGGATGATAGACGTCCATCGGAGTGGTTTCCTGGCTCAGCAGGTGGTGGGAACCAACAGTCTGCGGGGTCCTGCTTGTGGTGTGAGTAGGTGATGAACTGCTTTGGTTTGAGTTGGATGTGTGGACTGCCTTGTCTGTGCTCATCCGCTGCCTTGCTGCCCATCCTGCTTCCGATGACTTCCCTTGCAGCTGGTCTGATTGCCGTGCATTTTGGCTGCCTTGTTAGCACTGCCTTGTGCTTTGCTGTGCTGCTGCCAAGCTGCTCATCGGTTTGCCTTGCCTTCTCTTTCCTTCAAAGCATACCTATCTGCCTTGCAGTTTGGCTGCTTTGCCAGTGCTGCCTTGTGCTTCGCTGTGTCACTGCTTTGCTGCTTGCGCTGCAGTCTGTCCGCTTTCAAGAGCGGTCAGAGGGTTCATGACCCAATTCAACATGGGGGGATTCTGCAGGTTGCCGAGGGTTCAGCCTCCTGACGAGCTGGTGGAAGTCCAACGAAACAGTCTGTCATCATCAGTTTTTTTTTTTTTTTTCATCATCAGTTTTTCCGTAGGCTGTTTTTCTGGGCGCCCGGGGGGCGGGCATGACCCCCGGGCAGCCCCAGCACAAAAAAATAAAAAAATAAAAAAATAAAAAAATAAAAAAATAAAACAATTCCGGGAAAAAAATATGTTGTGTAGATTTGAAATACAAACGACTTTTGGCTGAGGGTCACATTATAATTCTTCACAGAATCGGAGATGAAAAAGAACATAACAGAATCATACAAAGGCACCCCCCTTTAGACCCCTTTAGCCCCTTTAAAACCAATTTACGCCCCCCCCCCCCCTTGACAGCCAACTCGCAAAAAACGAAATGAGCCCAGATTTCGGGCCCTCTGGGAGAGCACAGAAAACCAAAAAAAAAAAAATTTTTTTTTTTTTTTTTTTTTTTTTTTTTTTTTTTTTTTTTTTTGCACGCCTGGGTACCGCGGGCGTCAGATCTCCCCGGGCGTCACGCCTGGGTACCGCGGGCGTCAGACCTCCCCGGGCGTGAGAATCTTCCTTTTTTTTTTGCAAAAACGGGTTCCATTTATTGTCAACTCAGAGTAAGAGGTGCTGGTCTCCCCACATAAAGACCAGGTCTGGGAGCATTACCCAGTGTTATGCTTTTAACGGGACGTCGGGACCCCCAGGACCCGACAAAAAATCTTTCCGGAGATGCATCCACAATCTCATCCCTTTCAAGCTTAAAACCTAAACCCTAGCTTGACCCATGGCCTAGCAAGAACCGAAGAGAAAGTAATCCTCTAGTCTCTGTCCTCCTCTCTGCTTCTAGCCCACCCTTCTACGCCATCTAAGCTGTGTCTATGTCAGCACTGCAGTCCTGTGAAAGCGCTGCGTCGAGCGAGGCGTGGACCGTCATGTGAATTCCTCCACGTTGTTCTTCCTGTAGCTTCCACACCAGTCTCGGGGTGGCGCCTTCTATGCTACCCAGCTTACCCATTCCAAGCCGGTCGTTGATGAATTTGTCTATGACTGCCTGCCTCTTTGTGGCAGCTTCTTTGATCTTCTTGGTTGCCCGGTGCCAGTCCGCCTGGCACTCTGTCCGTACGAGTTGTGAGAGGTGCTCCCAAGCCTCCTCCTGTATTGGAGTGTTCTGGCCGTCCATCGTTTCTTTGCATCTTGTCTTCCATATGACACACAACACCCGAGGACGAAGTCTTCGGAAGAGGGCTGATTGCCATGCTTTTCGGAACCATGGTTGTGCCAGGCCCGTTAGTCGTGTGAGCAGGTTGTCGGGCAGTGGTGTGTCACAGTGTCGATAACCGACGACCATAACGTCTGCACTTTTCCCCATAGCCTTTGCGCATTTCGGCAGTACATCGAACAATGTGGCGAGTCCTCCTCCTCCTCGAGGGTCCCGGCATCACACATTACACATCTGTCATCAAAGTCCTGTTCTGGCTGTCGCCGACCGTCTGTTGCTGAGCCACGTGTTGACTGGCAGGGCGTGGTAGTAGATGAGCCACTGCATGCTTCTTATCCTGGAGTTCCTGATGGCAAGGGGAACTTGCTAGTCAAGCTTTACGGCGTCGCCCAGGCAGCCTGGGATGTGTTTCTCCCACCGCAGCGTTAGGATCTCGTTTGTGTTTATCGGTCTTCGCCTGAGCTAGTATCCGAAGCTGGTCGAGTAGTCCACAATGTTAGTTTGTTTCTGTATCCCCGTCATTTGTGCTCTTGTTTTTCGAGCTCACTCGGCCGGGTCAAACTCCAGGTCTTGGAGGAGCGTTCCTGGCTCGTATGTTCTGTAGGCGTCATCCTCCGCCACCGTGATCTTCCTGAGGAGGGCCAGTTTGGCCGCAACTCGCGCCCGTGCTGTTTTAGTGACTGTGCTGACTGTGTTCCCTGGCTGTTCGATGTCGTGGATGGTCCACAGCCCCTGATCTCCTGCCAGTCCTGTTGTTTTTACGAATGACAATGCCACCGTGGGTGTGATCTCTGAGTGCCACGTGGCCCACTCCCCCACCGTCCGCCGGGGTGGGGTTTGTAGAAGTACAAGCCAATACAATATGGTGGAATGGATTGCAGCAGAGCATGTAAATTGCAGGTTGTGGCAACCCTTGAGGGTTTCTCTGAGCTCACTCGGCACATGTCTTCCAGCGGTTGCCGTGGTGTTCCCACATGTGTTTTACTTGCCACACGCCTCGTTCCGGGAACGTCCAGCCACATAATCCAGCGGCCGTCCTCAGGGTCCACGGTTAATCGGTCGGGTCTTTCAGCCACCATTGGTTGACGAAGAGAGGATGGCGCAGGACTTCCTCTCTGTTGACAGGACTCTGGACTTCGGCTGGGAAGATCTCTCGCCAGATCTTAATGAGGTACATCCCGTACTCCGAACGGGCTGATGGTAGCGGCTGCTGCTGCTGGTCCTGTTGTTGGGGACTGCTGCCGGTCGACCAGGACTTCGACATTAGCCCAGAAGAGCCCTCGCATGTTGGGCGGAGTGGTGACTTTGGGCAGTTGTCTGATCCTTTGCAGGGTCGGCGACGTCCAAGGTAGCAGTTGCTGGGTCAACAGTTTTTGTTTTTTTTCTGACGATCCACTTCGTTTCGGGGTATTTGGTTTCGGTGGCCGGGTCGAGGATCCCCATTCCTCCTTTGCCCTTTGGTTGGACAAGGTGCGACCAGGCAACTTTGGGTACGAAGTCTTGTCTGGAAGGGTTCCCTGTCCTGTGGCTCGCCGTTTGAGAGGGGTGACGATATTTTGGCCTCCGGTGTCCAGATCGTAGCTGCGTACCACAACACGGAGTCGTCATCAGTTCTTCACTTCTTTTGCTCTTTGTTTTTTCAACTTGGAACTTGCACTTCATCCCTTTTCCCTTGCTGCTTTGTGCTGTTTGTCTGCCCACCCGCCTCCCCCACATCCTCCACCCTATGTTGTCCAATGCCTTGTTGCCTCGCCACCGTTCGCTTCACTGTGTTTTGCCTTAGTGGCCTTCGTATGGCGCTCCCCGGGCATCCGTGATGGGCGCAAGAGGGCACCTCACCCTCTACTGAGCTGTGATGAAAGCAAGAGCAGAAACAACGCTTTTGGGGATGTGGCACCCCTACTTCGTTGGTTACTATACCTGGTATACCACGTCTCCTCCACACCAAGGATGATGGCTCTGCCATTGCTGCTCCCCACTCTCCTCCACTCTGCACCTCCATCTCCTCTGGACCTCTGCTGTCAACCCCCTCTCTGCGCCCATCTCATAGTGGATCGTAGTTGAGGCATGCGTCGTAGACAAAGTGCGTTTAGAACTGACCAGAATGTGATTCCCTAGTTGGTTGCTCTGTATATATTCTTTCAACACACACAGGCACACACACACACACACCTTGCACATCTGCTACTTTTTTTTTTGTGTGTGTGTGTGCAAAACCTCTATAAGAGCACCACCGAGATTGAGGCTTTTCCTAACAGGCTGCTCCATCTACTGGTGGGGAGCAACACCTGCTGGAAACCGGATCCAGCATCCCTGAATACAGCATCCGGATACAATATTGCCTGTCTGTACTTTTTTCGTTTTATGGATGGTTTGTGATGATTTCTGGATGGAGAGAGAGAGAGAGAGAGAGAGTTTGGGGCTCTTTGAAAACTCACACACACACACACACACACACACACACACACACACACACACACACA